TTTAATTTGAGTACTTATTTCTAATTTCCTCCTTTGGAGTTTGGACAAGTATATCTTCATGAAAATGCCTATTTTCCTTCTTGGCAAAAATGTAATATTAAACTTCTTGGTCTTTGTCAGGATATGAGTTTAAAATAACAACTCAGAATGTTTTATTTTACATTTCTCTTTTTCTAAGTGAGATTGGGCATTTTTTTCAACAACTTTGAGCTACTTATGTTTCTTTACAAATTATTTGTATATGTCTTCTAGAGCTTTGGTTTTTAAATCATGGAAATAACTAAAATATTCATTGCAGAATATCTTTACTTTCTATAAGCTTTTCTTTCAAGGAATATTTTTCCTCTAATCATAATAATTACAGAATTATCCATTATTATACATTTTATTTACTTCTTGGTGTTTTATTTTCATTAAATTAGTAAAAAGTACTGCTTTCTCATGGCCATATATTTTTGCCACTTCAAGAGTATGTCCAGCCCATTCTCTGTGATTGTAATTAAGTAAGTAGTTTTAGGATGCAGTTAGTAACTAAGTTTATTGATTTTTCTTTTCTTTTTAAATTTTGAAATTTAGGTTGACTGTAAAAGCTAATGGTGAAATTCTTATTCTAACAATAATGATGTCATTTTGGTTTATTTAACTATTTTAAATAAAATTCATCTTTAAAATGATGACCTGGAATATTTGCTATGTGTATATACTTAAGAGAATCTGCTTTCACTGGATAATGTTCATTTTTGTAGCAGGAACTTTCTTGAAACTGCCTTTTTTCTATCAGCATTGTATTTTAGTCTGATAAAGCAATAGTATTTAATTCCCTTAATTATTAGATTGTAGATGTTCCTCATCTTATGTTGGGATTGCTATCTGAAAAAATATCATTAGGTTGAAAATGCATTTAATGTATCCAGTTTACTGAACACCTCAACTTAGTCCACAATCCCTTAGATATGTTCAGAACATAGATTAGCCTACAGTTGGACAAAGTTATATTATGTGGCATATTAAGGCATATTTTATGCTAAAATGTTGAGTATCTCATGTAAATTATTGAGCACTTTATCCAAAAATCACTGCAATACCACATACGAGGTATGATTGAAAAATAGGCTGAAAGTTTAAATTTTACTATAGTAATAGACACGTTGTCCTGAACCAACCCTCAAAAAAAAAAAAAAACAAAAAAAAACTTCCTCTCTTTGAACACACTTATCCCATCATTCTTGCCACTCTCCGAAGCTGTTCTGAAAGTCCTCTTTGATGTTTTTAGTTGTATGGTCTTAACTGCCTTGATAACTTGAATGGATTCAAAATGTTTATCTTTCGTGGTCATTTTGATTTTGGGGAAGACCAGGTGCCAGATCTAGCGAGTAAGGTGGGCAAGGATACACTGTAATATTGTTGTGAGCCTGGCTTTCCACTGGGTGTCATTCGGCACCAGCATTCACCATAGGTTTTTTCTCACCTCCTGAAGACGCTTATAAAAGAGGACTTCCAGAACTGCTTTAGGAAGCGGCAGAACAATGAGATACATGTTTGGAGTGAGGTGGAGGATTTTTTAGAATTTGTGGCAGAGTATCTTCTACTGTAATAAATTTTTTAAATTTAAGCTTTCACCATATATTTTGATGACCCCTTGTAGTGCCCTGGAGTATGAGTTTTTTTCTCCTTATGGTCACATGGCTGCTTGGGAGCTTAGGAGGTGTGCTTGGCGGTTACTGCCCAGAACCACCACCTATCACTAGTCCCAGCAAAAGGTTGGAATTTGAAGTATGGCTTTATAAAGACAGAGAATTGTTAAGTCAGGCCTTTGTTAGGTAGATAGTTAAGTGTATTTATCAAAATATTTGAATTGGGGTTTGTTACAAAAGAGGATAGCCCACTGGGGAGAAATTGCTTATTTCTCTGATAAGCTTCTGGTTGTATTATGAATTTAGGGGAATATCCCTTTATTAGACTGCAGATCCTCCCTTTTCGGAGCAACCTATCCAATTCTAACTGTAGTTCTTAATTTTATTGTTAAATTCTTTAATGATCTTACAGCAGAGAAAGCAAAGCAAAGTACCAAAAAGACCTTTTCAGAAGTTAAATGCTTCTGGAGGAAAATTCTAAACACACAGAGAGAGCAGCTTAATAGAGTTTTATGGTGAAGGGGAATATTCATTCTTTTCTGTTCAAGAGTTAACAAAACATTTTGTGTAGAATATGGCTTGGATTATTAATTGTTGGCTCAGGTTTCTCTAAGCTATCTAAAACCAACAAAAGAGAACATGTATGAAGTTTTGTTTCTATATTTATTCAAAGTTTAGTTTTCCTTAGGGAAGCTGGCAGAGAAATTTAATACTAGAGAATACAGTATATGTTTATATACTCAAAAAATTAGGGTTTTCTGATAACTTTTTATTTTCTATTAATTTAATTTTTGTGGTGCTGTTTGCTGTTTTTGCCATGATCATTTTTTTTTCCTCTTCTTTGTGTCACTTGAATGTGTTTTATGGTTTATTTAGGTTAACATTTGCAAGCCACGGAAGCATGTAATGTAACAATGCCAAGAAACGCTGGTTTTGTTAATTTTATTCCATTTTAATTTAACGAGTATTCGAAAATTCCATTCCCCTGAAATTTGGTAATTAACAAAATGCTCCAGTTTCCAGAGTTGTCATTCCATCTTTGGGTTTGTGGGTCCTCTTGTGTCTTAAGATAAGTGCCTGGGGTAGTACTTCCACTTCTTTGTTATTAAATTGAGGTAAATTACTGAATGTCTTGACTCATTTTTTTCGTAGGCCAGTAGGGAAGAAGGCAAAAATCTGTCTCTTCTACTTTGTGAAACTCTCAGTAAGAGAAAAATGAGATTGCTGGAATATTCTTTAAAATACAGAAGCTAGTTGATTCCAGGTATGGTTGTGGTTGGCATATAATTTCCTGTAATCCCAGCATTTGGAGGCTAATGAGGGAAAATCTTGAGTTTGAGATCAGCCTGGACTACATAACAAAACCATGCCTTAAAAAAAAAAAACTATCATTTTGCATTTATAAGTTGTTATGGCTGTTATCAGTTTTTTTCCCTTTGTGTTTTTCTCTCTTTACTGTTTCTAACTTTATAGGCATTGTTCTGGTCAGCCTTAAGAGACTGTGTATAGGGACCAGGTATTTAGATCAGTGATGCAGCCTATCTCCTAAACACAAGATCCTGAGTTCGATCCCTAGTACCCCCCCCCCCAAAGAAAGATTCCCTTTTGGGCCAGGAATTTGGCTCAGTGGTTCTGCTGCCTGCTTCACAAACACAAGGTCCTGAGTTCAATCTCCAGTACCAAAAAAAAAAAAGAGAGAGTGAGAGAGTTTGTATAGTGTTCACAGATTTTTTTTCATTATTGTTTTTCTACTTGTTTATTTACTAGAAAATACTTTATTCTAAAACCCTTTTTATTGACCACTGTCTTGTTCATTATAGTAAATCCAGTAACTGGTTTTAAGACTGTTTTCTCTGGATGATCTTTGTCATTATAGCTGTCTTACAGACTCAGAAGAGAAATTTTCTTTCATAAAATTACCTATTTTGGAAATCTCATTTATTAGAACTCAGATCTTTGAAAAACACTTGAAACAAAATTTCTGTGGTTTACTCTGAAGCAAAAGAGGAAAACAGAGTTAACTCTTAAAAGATTTTATTATAAAAATCATTTTCCGATAGCTAAGTCTTACCAATTATGTAAAGAAAAATTTTCCATTCCCCAGAAATGTTGCCACCGTTAGATACTTGATTTTATTCTTTCCGATGTTTTTCTTGAATATACAACATTAAATATATGTGTATATTTTTTTCAATTCAAGGTAAATAGTACTATTCTGATTACTTTGTTTCAGTTAATAAATCCTGTACTTTTATTGTCAGTACATGCAGAATTACCTCATTCTGATAGTATTTTATTAAATGAATGCACTATTTTTAACCAAAATTCTTGACATAGAAAATTGGTTGCTTCATTTTGTTGATATAGCCATCTGTTTTAAACAACTGAAGTGTCTTTTTAGTCATACATTTGGGTGGAGGTTTTGCTTCTGTGAGTGAATTTGTTTAAGGGTCAGAATCTTGTTTCTCCTTGTTTGGAACTTCAGGTGATTTATTTGGAAGAAACTTACTGCGTTCTTCACCTGAGGCACTGTACTTAGGCATTGAGGATGCAAGTGAATGAGACAGCAGCTCGCAAGGACAGACTTTAGGAATGTTTTGCTTCCCTCAACACATCAGCCATGCCATTCCTCCCCACAGAGGGCAGTGCCTAATTTTCTGGATGAAATGTCAGTCATTATTTAATTTGTTAATCCAGGACTATTCTTACAGCTTACTTCTGTTTTCCAATAGTCATGACAATTGCATTTTCCTTAATGACAATCGTATGTGTATGTTACAGTGTTCTGATGGCATTGATGTTTTTAGAACAGGTCACATGTTTGACCAGCCTTTGGGAAAGCTTTGTTAAACATGTGAACACATTGGCATTGAACCTAGTACTGCGCCGCAAATATGATACAGTCGCTGTTGTCATAGTTATAACCTACGGAAAGTAGGAGAAAAAAATGTAGTCTCACATCTTGCCTGAGTCTGTATGTAGCACATACCTAGTGAGTAGTCTGTTAGTTTTGGGTGCCACTATTAATTAATAACAATTGGTAAAGCATCTTTTCATTGTAAGCAAACAGGCATCTAAGCCAAATTTATTGAGTTTCCTCTTTGCCCTAACTACCTCATGGTCTTTATTTTGAATACAGGTTCTGGGATATCTAAAGTGGTTGAAATTTAAGATTTAAGATTCCAGTGAAAAGCTTAACTGTGGTCAAAGATTTCTAACAAGTTTTTCATTTTCTTGCCTATAGCTATGCAAATTTTTTAATTAAGGCTTTCTATCAAATAGCATTTATAGTGAGTACATTCTATAATAATTTGGACATCCCAAAATATTGTTAGGCAATCTAAATGATTTCTTTTCATTTTTCAGCGGGGCCATATGGGATATTTGCTGGTAGAGATGCTTCCAGAGGACTAGCAACATTTTGCCTAGATAAGGATGCACTTAGAGATGAATATGATGACCTCTCAGATTTGAATGCAGTACAGATGGAGAGTGTTCGAGAATGGGAAATGCAGTTTAAAGGTACTTACATTTTGTTAAATTCTTGGGAAAATATAGATTCACAGAACGTGTATTTCACCTGCTTAAGGACGTCATATGCTTTTACTGCTATTATATAGATATTTTAAACAGCAAAATATTAATATGATTGTTCATATTATTTTGCAAATATGTAAAACTTGTTTTGTTTTGTTTTGTTTTGTTTTTTGGTACCGGGGATTGAACTTGGGCCCTTGTGTTTGCAAGGCAGGTGACAGAACCACTGAGCTAAATCCCCGGCCCCTGTAAAACTTGTTTTAAACTGTAAGTCTGCAAAATTGTGATACTTTTGGTCTTTTAATACCTGTTAATACCTGTTAAGGTGTTATTTTTTCTTTCTTTTTTTTGGTACAGGGGTCAAACTGAGGACCTTATGCTTGCGAGGCAGGCACACTGCCACTGAGCTAAATCCCAGGCCCCCATTTTTTGTTTTTTAAATTATGGATGTATTGAAAACTGAGTTGGTAGCCGGGTATGGTGGCAATACACCTGTAATCCCAGCACTTGGTGAACACTTTTTCTTTTTTTTGGTACCAGGTATCAAACTCAGCCCTTGAACTTGTGAGGCAGGCAGCATTACGACTGAGCCAAGTCCCCAGCCTAATCCTAGCACTAGCGAGGCTGAGGCAGGAGGATCGCTGCAAATTCAAGGCCAGCCTGGGCTACATAGTGACTTCAAGGCCAGCCTGAACTATACCATAAGACTCTGTCTCAAAACCAACCTGAATTGCTGGGGTAGTTTAATGTACATCTCGTGCCACTGAGTCTGATCCCAGTACCATCAGAAAGAACAGTTGATCAGTGATGTTGATACTGAAACGAAATATATTCCAAAATTACTTTATTGTTCTTACTTTCAAACAGTAAGAAATATTCTTCCCCTGATTATACTATCATGACACTGGATTTACTACCTGTGTGACTCTATTACCTATTTATGTAATCCCTGGATCCCTCAGAACAGCTACTTTGGCTTCTTGGTACTTGTACTGGTTCTGTTACATAAAGTGGTTTTTTATCTCATCCTCTTGACAGCTGATTCACTTAACCTAGGATAAGTGAATTAAATTTAGGTTTCCATTCCTGACCAAGAAATAAACATGTGTTGCCTACATACAAAACTAATTTAAATATCCACTCACATAAAAACAAGCAAAAGAGAGTTTGAAAGAGGAAGAACAATGTGATAGACGCCATGCTCAGCCATGTTATCTCGGGGTGACCACTACAAACAAATTGTTATTTCTTCATTTAAGTTACTTTCATGAGTACCACTACCATTCATGTTTCCTAAAGATGTCTCAGTTGGATCTGCTTACCATGCCATTCTCTCCCTCATACACTCTTCTACATCTTTGATCTCCAAGAAAATCGCCATTTTCTTTTCTTTTTTCATGGTCTCCAAAATGTTAGCCCTAGATTTTTTTCATTCCACTTCCATGCAAAATCTAATATATTTTAAAAGCTGTTAGAAATTTCCTACATTGCCATCTCATTTCTTCAATTATAATATTTTGGGCTATTGCAAATTAAAGAACGGTTCCGAGATTCACAGTGTACATTAGACCAACTTCATGGGTCTCCAGACCTAACCTAAAAGCCCGGGCTGGATAGCTCTGAGATGGATCCCATGTATATTTTTTAAAAAGCTCTTCAAATCGCTTCTCGGCCTTTTGGCTAAGATCAAGTGTAAAAAGCTCTTCAAGTGATTCTGTTGCAGAGTCCAGTAAAGAGCCACTGATACAGAACACTCTTCCAAAAAATAATTCCCAGGCTTTGTATGTTCCCTAAAACTGTTTCCTTTGCTGAAGCTTTGCATGTAAAAAGACCAGCCCACGTGAAGCATTAAGAGAAATTTAGCTTATTCTGTGTGTTTTTAAAAGAGCCAAGTGCCTGCCTTCCCTCTTTATAATGGGATAGTGAAACAACTTTGACTGCTGATTTTCTTTTGATATATCTTTCAGAGAAATATGATTATGTAGGCAGACTCCTAAAACCGGGGGAAGAACCTTCAGAATACACAGATGAAGAAGATACCAAGGATCACAATAAACAGGATTGAACTTTGTAAACAACCAAAGTCAGGGGCCTTCAGAACTGCAATTCTTACTCCCTTTCACAGAATGTCGAGTGTCTTTCAGTTTGATTCACCTGCTGCAAAAAATGTTTGACAGATTGTATACAAGATAAATGAGTCTCACTATGAAGATTTGAATACTAGAAAATATGTATGCTGCCAAACTCATTTGTTGCAGTTGTTTGTAATGTCTGGTGGGGCTCCATCATCCTGAAAAGGAACAGGCAGGCATTTCTTACACAGCAAGAAAGTCAGGAGCTTACTTTTAACTCCCCCGCCTCTCTCCCCCTTCCCCCTCCTTTTTTTTCCCTCCCCCTCCCCATCCCCTATCTTACATTTCTTCTCTCCTCCTTCTTTCTCCAAAATATATCAAAGACAACCAGATATGTATTTGCTACTCAAGTGTACAAATCTCCTCAGAAAACAGCAAGGGACTCCTACTTCACATGCTGTATTTTTTATTTTAGCATTGAAGAGGTCACCTGGACAGAGGAGGAGGGAGTTGCACATTAATTTGAGTAGTTTAGGCTACTGAAACATTAAAATGTGAATTCCCAAACTTTTCTTTTTGGGCTTTGTCGGGGAAAAGGAAAAAAGAAGGGATTTCAAGTGGATTGAAGTCAAGGAAATTCCTCCCACTAAGATCATTTCAAACCAGTTGTATCCCTTCCCTTCCTCTAGATCAAATCAATATTAATTGTGCCTTATTTCACTTCCATAGACTTGAATTATTTTTAGGGAAATCCCCTATATGAATTTAGAAGTCACTACAAACAGCATTGAGACTGAAGTTGGAATATTCTGTTGACCCACAAAACCTCGATGTCATTCTGTGTATATAGAATGTAAAAGGAGTATTCAGTGTTAACTGCCATATATGTTGATATACACAAACTTAAATTAGCATTGTGATGCCAAATGCATTCCCCCATGCTTTCTCTTTAAAAAAAAAAAAAAAAAAAAATTGGAAATCACATCAACAGCTCTTACCCCTTACAGCTGCCTAATTCTAGGAGTCTGACACTCACATCTCACAGGTGTGGGTACCTGGGGCTGCAGTATGGATGTCTGTGTGAGTGTGTCTGGATGTGTGTGAGTGCCTTGGAAGGGTCTCTTTCTGCAGATACTGTAAATATAAGTACTGTTTTAATAAAGCATGTAAAATAAATCAAAATAAGCTTGAGTTGGATTTTATACGCTAAACTGTAAGCCACTGCATTATGGTATGGTAATAAGCTTGTGCATTTGAATCAAGATGAGGAAAACTCTTGGAAATGAAAAGTAGGCACTGGTTAACCAAGTTGTACAGATTGTACCTCATTCATTGTAACTTTAGGAAGAAATTCCACTTTTGGGGGGAACATTCTTAGTTCTGAGATTATTCAGGTAAGAGTTGATATAAAAGTGTACATATTTTCCTTTATATTTTGATGCCAACTGATCATATTAGAAGTAATAGCACTCCAGGCACTAGGATATTGTACTGCTAAATACTACATCCTTCCCTCAGGAAGAACCTTTCCTTGGGTTGAAAAGATCCTTACTAAAAGATATGTCAGTCATACAATTTCATCATGACCATGTAAGTTCTTGATTGAGGACAAGTCACACAAAAACAATTTTATTTAAGTCATCAGTTAAAAGACTTCTTTTTAATAAATATAATATATACAAAAGCCATCCAAAAAAGGGCAACTTTGAACTGCAACAATAAGCTAAAGTGTATAAAATACTACATTCTATATAATCTTGTAATGTTTTGTGGGAAATTATCTTTGGTCAAATCTTGGCTGAAGAATGGTTGTGGAGACGTAAAGAGTGTTGGGAAATGCTTTGTATTTTTATGTATTTTCTTTAAAAATTTGTTAAAGTACACGTCCTATAGAAAACGTGTGTGTGTGTGTGTGTGTGTGTGTGTGTGTATATATTATATATATATGAATTATTTGAGCCTAGTTCAGTAATAAACCTGCACTTGTTAATAGAGAAACCCTAAATATTCATAGGGTAAACATGATGTGGTCTGTTAAGAAGAATGAGTAATTTTGTGTTTTGGACTTCAAATAAACTGTTCTGTAGATGGTCCCTTAATTTCAGTGAATGTTTTCCATTCCCAGGTAGTCTGCCTCTGTTTACTAGTGAGGGACCTGTAGACTTGGCAGTATTGTTGCTGTTGTGTTCCCTTTTAGCCCATATTTTCCAAATTTGCCTGATTATTTCTGGTCACCTGAGGTGCTTGTAGTGTAGATTCTTGGCCTCCCACCTGTGGATCCAGAGTCTTCGTTTGAGAGAGGTGCCTCAGCTAATTCTTAGGGTCAGGCATACTGGAGAAATGCCATAGTGAACTTTAAGTTACTTAATATTCACTAGGCAACTGAAGTAGAACTTGTACATAGATATTCGCTAATCCTCTACATTTGGTTTTGTATTTCCTAAACTTCCTTAGCAGTGTGAGTTAAAAATTAAGATTTCAAGTCAAATCTAATACGTGGCTTTAGCAAATTTCAATGGATTTTTTAATCTTTTTGCCAGCATCTCCATGATGGCCTATATCCCCAGGTTAAAGCATATTGTATAGAGTTGTCAGTTTCTCTGCATTAACATTCAGATACAGATGAGGTTTTTAAATCTTGACCACAGTGCTAAGTCTTTGTATGTTGTCCTGATGGTATTTCCACCTGCCTTCCTGATACCTGCAGTCTGTGACAGTTCACCCACCTCTACCTACAACCAAGACCCTACATTGAATATGTTGAATTAGCACTAGGAGACTTGTGTTCTCTGGAAAAGTTGATGTTGAATCGCTCATTATCCAGGTGTTCCACTTAACCTCGAGTGATGGCTAGATGCAGCACAGCCACCTGCTAGGCAAATGTGTCGTGGACATAACACTATAGCCTCATGGAGCTTTTATACATTGAAGCAAATTAGTAATACTGTAATAAATAGAAAATTTTAAAGTGCCTTTGAGCATATTGAAAATAAAAGTCTAGTATTACAGTGATACTGAATGAATTGTAATTCTAATTTCTCCTTTTAATGGAAGTGGCAAATGCCTAAAGATAGCTTTTGAGAACGTTTGTTCCATTAAGGTCAGTTATCATTTGACAAGTGATATTAATCTGATTGCGACCTATTTGGCTGTGGCAAAAACATCCAAAGACCGTCCAGCTTGACTATTTTTGAGCTAAAAGTGTAATTCCCAGGCAGAATCAGAAATGACTTTATCTCCTTATCACACTCCCATGAGTCCGTCTGAGGAAACTCTGCTCTAGCTTTCAGCTTTGCTTTTGTCCTGCCATCACTTGTCATGGGAGGTCATCAGGATGCCTGTGAGTACTCCAATCCAGAGAGCACCTAAGCTGAGTGTGGGGCTGAGGCAGGAGAACTTCAAGCTCGAACCAAGCCTGGGCAATTTATTGACTTGGCAAGACGGACCCTGTCTCAAAAATTAAAGGGCTGAGAATATAGCTAAGTGGGAAGGCCCTGGGTTTCATTTCCAATACCAAAAGGAAAGCACTAGATGTCCTGTAAGCACTGGTTTAATTCTCACAAGATTTTTCTTTGTTATAGGCACATAAAACCCAAGTAAACCTCATCATGCAGTTTGGTGAAAGGAGCCCCATAATGGCATATGCTTTTTGTTTTGTTGGTTTTTGAGACAGCGTCTCACTGAGCTGAGACTGACCTGGAACTCACTATGTAGCCCAGGCTGGTCTCGAGCTCACAGCGATCCTCCTGCCTCAGCCTCCTGAGTGCTGGGATTACAGGCATGCGCCACCACGCACGGCCAGCATATGCTTTTAAATGCTATAGATATAATTTTAAAGGCTGCATAATATTGCTTCAAACTAAAAGTTTTAGGGGAAATACAGGCTATTCTATATGTTGTATGATCTAAGTTTGTTTAAAAAAAAAAGCCCCAAGGAAAAACATTTAAAGAGATCCACATATGCTTTTGTTGGTTATAAAAACAATGTATAGGGCCGGGGATTTAGCTCAGTGGTTCTGCCCCCTGCCTTACAAGCACAAGGTCCCAAGTTCGATCCCTGGTTCAAAAACAAAAAAAATGTATGATCATTATAAAAAAATAAGCAATAATCAAAACAGAGTTAAGCAGCTAACCTTTTCCAGAACCCTTTTCACTCCAGTTCTTTCTCTGTCTGTGGAATTTTAGTATATTCTCCTATCCCAGGCTTCAGGCTCAAAATACCCATCCAGACTTCCTGAACTTCTCTCCTGGTAACCCTGGAACCTGGAAATCAGTGCATGGTTCCCTTCACCATGCTCCTACACTGTTCTCTCTCCGCGTGCGGCTCCACTCCGATTTGTCTCCTCCCTTACTGCAAATTTGCGGTCTCTTGTCTGCTTGCTCCCTATTTTAAAGGCCTTCAGTGGCTCCTTTCTAAGAATCCAGACCATGGTTAGGCCTCCACCCTGCCTCTTCACCAGTCCTTACTTCATTAGCTGCCACTGAAGACCAGTCACCGTGTTCTGGGGGTGCTTCCAGAGTACAGCCTGGCTCCGCGAGCACTGTGTCCCAGTCTGGTTACTCTGCCCACTTGGCTGCCCTGCTTACCGACTTGCTCAGTCTTGGGCAAGCCGTAGGCTCCGCGCCTGAGGCTGAGTTAGGAAACCCCATTTCATCCCTCCAAGGTACCGGGTGCATTTGTATCACTGAAGTTACTGTGTTGTGCTGTAAATGTCTGTCTCCTGTAAAACTATGGACGAGATTTATACTCAATATTTTAGGCCCAGAGTTTTCCCTAACCACTGCATATTTGCTCTGCATTTTTGTTAAATGAATTTGTAAACAAAAGGGTAAACTAATATCTGCATCACACCAGCGCTTGAGAGCTCTGCTTGTTGGGTTTGCAGTTAATCTGAGGAGTTTTGGGGCTGCCAAAAAAAACCCAAAAGTCTTACTCTCTCCATGTACCTGACCCCCCACCCCTCCGTCACAGAGGCCCGTGCAAGGCCTGGCCTATCCCAGTGGTAATTAAGAAAAAGACAAAAAAAAAATTTTTTTTTTTCAATTTGATCTTCCCAAAGACAAACTCCAACATAATAAAAAATATAATGAAAACAGCCCGACCTGTTGTGCTTTCCCAAGAAAAAGACCTTTGCCCTTAACAACAGTAAGTGGTGAGAAAAGAAAACAAAAGCTACAGGGAGCCAGTCACCTTTCCCAAGAAACACAGGGCGAGCACTTTCAGTCCCACGTTTGGAAGCTGTGTCTGTGGAAAGAGCCTGGTCGGATGCTCTCTGCTGTGCAAGTTTCTTGACTTCTCTGAGCCTGACTTTCCTTAGGTATGAAAAGGGGCTGGTATACCGAGCCCCTTTGTGGGATGACAGATAACTTTCTTAATGTAAAGTAAGGATCTGAATAATCCTTGGTTGATTAACTGGATAGTTGTAAAGCAAGGTAACAAATTACCTTTGCCATGTAGTTAACAGCATCAAATTACTAAAGACCAGCAGTAATTCCACGATATGTTTTCCACATTTATTGACACTTTCATGTGCTCAGCTTGTGATTTATTTGGAATCTGTGTTCCCAGAGGAGGGTTATCTTGAAACCAGCAGCATGGGGTGAGCCTGGAGCTAGCAGAAACGGAACTTAGAGATTGTAGTAAGTTGTGAGAACTCACCATGACTGACCATCTTTGCTGCTGAACAGCAGAGCACATTGTGCTTGTCAACTATTTTTAACCAGAAGCAAAATTGAGAATGCCAGGTGATAGCCGTGAGTTCACCCGTGTGCTTCCTGTTAAGTTTCATAGATTGATTCGCACTGTTTTTGTTGATCTTTGAACCACCACAGAGTAATTCAGAATCACTTCACAGCCCAATTTGTGTTTAGGCGCAGTGATTAGAATGGCTGAGTACATTGATATGTTCTGTTCAAAGATTTACCGCAGTGACTGATAATACAGCTCTGTAAAGCCAGTTAAAACTTTAGTCATCCTAAATTGAAAATCACTAGGCTCAAATATCTTTAACAGATTCTGGGGCAGCCAGAATTTAGTTCTAGTTGGAATCTGCTCACAATGGTTATTTTTATTTGTCAACTAGACCAGTCCACAGTGCCCAGTTTGGTCAAACACTACCCTAGATATTGAGGGTGTGATTAACATATACAAATCACCCTCCTGCTGTGGGCTGAGACCTCAG